GTCGGCTGAGCCTGCCACCCCAGACATGTCATCAATGTGCACATCATACTCGCAGCCCCTGCTGCCTCAACAAGGACTCAGGCCGACTCACCACTGGACACTACGGGTCACCGTACGTCCAGCCGAGCTCCTTCTGTCCAAACCACATCATGTGGTACCATCCTCACGCATCGGTCACAAACAGGTATACATAGGCACATACGATTCATATTCCAAATCTCATAACAACATATCAATACAGCTCACTGATAGTACACAAGGACACATACATAGTCCAGATACAATTAAGCAGTCACATAATCAACATGCCAATAAAACAGTATGGAAACACAAGCATAGAAAAGGTATCGTCACTCACTGTACAAAAATCGAGTCAAGAACGAAGTCCTGATCACCCTCACCCGTCTCGCCGATCTGGGTGTACCTCCTCAGACGTATCTGAAAAACAAAACCACACAGAAATATAACCCACCTCAAACTCGGTACAAGAAACAGGCCCCGTAGCCTCAAACCGGCTCAAAACCAAAATCGACACTCTGGCACGCATCTCGAGATATCGAGACTGGCCACCGAAATCTACGTGACTCTCAACACACAATAAACCAGCTCAAAACCCTCAATCCAAACAGAACTACTCTCCATAGTCTGCCAAACACAGCGAACCAGCCTCTAAAGACCCCCAACCCGGCCTAGCTGGCCTAAAACTACCTCAAGCTCAACTCAAACGGGCACGAAACCCTCGAAAATGGATTCAGAGGCCCCAAAAACCTTAGGAGCCAATATGAACCGTCCAAGAACTCAAACCTGATCATTGGCACGCAAAACGAGGTTGATTCACCTCGAACCGGTTGCCCAAAATTTCCCGAACCCACTTGGTTTGATAGGTTTCATCCCCCTGAATCCAGAACCAGTCAAAAAACCAAATTCCAAGTTGATTTGGCCACTGAACCGGCCGGTCAACCCTCTGGCCGGTTCAGTCAAAACCCCTCCTCTTTTTTTTTTTTTTTTTTTTTTTTTTTTTTTTTTTTTTTTTTTTTAAGGTCGGCTCGGCTCGAGCCGCAGCTCGCGGCTCGGCTTGAGCCGCCAGCCCAGCGGCTCGGCTCGGCGCGGCTCGGGCCCGCCTGGGCTGGCCCAACTCTTTTTTTTTTTTTTTTTTTGCTTGGCCCGCGATTCAAGCCCGCGGGCCGCCCAGCCCATTGGGCTGAGCCCAGGCCGAACGGCCTGGGTTGCCAACACACGGACCCGGACCCTTCCGGGTCCGTCTCTCTCACCCGGCACCCGGGTCTCTGACCCGGGTGCCTGTAACACCCCCGACCCGGAAAAAAAACCAGGAAACCAGCCGGAAGAGAGCTTACCTCAGTCCGCCGACCGCCTGAAAGCCGCACGAGCCCCGGCAGCCAACAGCAACCTTCAACGCCTGAAAAGCTGCCCAGAAAGCCCGAAAAAGCTCGGCCTCCCTCCGTGTTCTCCGTCGGCAAAGCTCGAAGAATCCCTCTCCTCTTCGCTCGTCTTCAACGATTGAGTGAGGGATTCAACCAAAGCTTCAAATACCAACAACCAGAAGCAAAAACACGCAAGCATCATTGCCCAAAACCTGCTAATCCGGGGGGAATCATTCGAACGCAGTTCCTGTCAGACTTATGGAAATTTTGCAGATCAGTCCCTGGACTTCAGGCTAACGCAAATCAGTCCTCGAGTATTTTCACTCCAGCCCCCGACAAATTAATTTCTACAACTAAGTCCCTGAACTAAACAAATTTCTAATTCGGGTCATTTTTTTTTAAACCAAAATAATGGCACCGTTCAAAAATATTTAACTATTTAAAAAATTTTCGTAACCCAATTTTAAAGTTTCAAAAACGTAAAAAATTGTGATGGTGGGATGGGGCGGCTTAATGATTTTGGCGGCCAAGTCAAACTTAATTTAAGATACTTTCATCTTTTTTATTAAAATTAATATACAATCTTATTTAAAATTTATTTTTTAACATTTTTATTGCAAAATTAGTAATTGAATTTTTTTACTTAATTTCTTTTAGTATTTCATTTCAATTGATAATATAGATAATCTATTTATTCTTGTGAGATTTAATAGTCTTAAGTAAGTTTATTAATTTTTTGTTTCAAAAATTTTATTCGGCCAAAACAACAATTGTATATGAACTTTTAACTTTTATTTTATTAGTGATATATGTCTTGGGAAAAGATGAGTATTTTAGGAATAGAAAATTTCAATTAAAAGATAAATGAAAAATTTAGAGTTACAAGAAGATGATTAATTGTAATTGGTTATTTAATATTAAATAATAAATTTCATGAATTTATATTTTTTATAATTATTTAAATTATTATTATAATAATAAAATATTATTAAGGCTTAAAAATTTTTGGAAGTTTAAAACAAGTGCTCTACTTGCCTCACCGTGTAGCGGGCACTGGTGTCGAACCCATCAAAAACTCCAGAGCTTTAAATAAAAAATTCCAAGACCCGTCAAACCCACGCGCGAGATTACTTTTCTTTTAAACCAAACAATTCTTCCAAAATCCCAAGGCCCAATCTTAAAGTTTGATACTAGAATTTTCAAATTTTTTCCGCCATAAATGGAGAATTTGATATCACAAATTCTAAAGTTTTAAAAATTTTTAGTAGACAAAAAGGAGTCGAGGCCGAAAGAAGAAGACTACTAATCTACATAACTCCAATAAATACAAACTTCTAACAAATCAGAATGAAAAACTTTGGATCCAATCCTTTGTTTTTAAATTCTAGGACGAGCTAAGTTTAGAAATACAAACTTTTAACAAATAGAATGAAGACTTCTGCAGTTGGATGGAAGGAGAATCCAATCCTTTGTTTTCAAAATTCTAGGACGAGCTAAGTTTAGCCAAGCAATTAGCACACCTGTTAATAGATATGGGAACTTGCTTAACTTTGACCTCTCTCGACCTTTTGGCTAAGTTGACGTGAAAAAAAAAAATTCTAGAGCTTTAAAAATTGAGAATGTTTGGAAGGGAAAACGTTGACAAGGGGCTTATATATTTGAATTAACATTCCATATTTACAAACACCGTAATTTTGCTTATATAGCTTGCTATTTCAATTAGTTGAAAAGAGTTTTATATTTGTACAGGACTGTTAATAGATTAAATTTTAATATAAATTCAATCTGAATTCGATATGAATTTTAGAATTCAAATTTAATTAAAATATTTGATAAATTAAATTTAATTATAAATTATCTATAACGTGAAATAAATGAAATCAAATATAGAATTAAGTAATTCGATCTATTAAAATCTAAATCCTATTTTTAATAATATTTTTTATTAATTTAATAATATTATATATAATACTAATAAATTTAAATTTATAAAGACTAAATTAGAAAAACTAAAAAATAAAGAGATCAACGTGATTAATGAAATGGGATTAAAGCTTTAAATTTAAAATAGAATTATTTTTTTGTTGGATTAAATTTTTTTATTAAAATATAAATTATCTACTCGAAATTAAATATAATTTAATAAATATAAATTTTATAAAAATTTTAAGATAAATTTAAACATTAAAAATAAATAATCGTATTTGAAATAAAATTTAATCCAACAGCTTTGCAAGAACTCCGACCCAGTTGAAACGCCGCGTCGTTGAGATAAGTGCAGAGACTTAAGTACTGCTACACGGTCATCGAACAAGATGCCTTGATTGGTAAGCCAGAGAAGATCTACCCCACGGGATTCAGCAGGTGATTTCAATTTACTTGTAGCTTATTATTTTAAAGGTTGTTTGGCAAGTTTCCCCACGACGACGAAACCATTCTCACGAAAGATTTTGTGAAAGCACTTTATGAGAAAAAAAATAAAAAAAAAAATACAGATGTTTGGTGAAAGAAGATTTTTCAATTAAAAATGGTTTATGAATTTACTTGAATGTTTAATGGCAACAGTTCAAAGTATTATAATATTTGAATATTTTCATAACCTAATTTTTTAAGTTTTAAAGATTTAGAAGTTTTTGATCGTGCCAGCGGTTAGTGATTTTCGTAGTTTAAAGCCCAACTTGAAATTAAAGCCTTTTATCTTTTTAATAAAATTAATATAATTTTTTTGAATTTTGTTTTTCTAACTTTTTGATATGAAAAATTGTTTTTTACATAATTTTTTTAATATTTCTTTTGCAATAGATAATATAGATAATTCTTTTTTTTTTTTGAGCTATTGTTCGTCTTAGGTAAAATTTATTAATTTTAATTTTAAAATACTTATTTCCATCAAAGGAAAAGTTACATGATTTATTAACATCATTCTATGAGTAATATATATATTAGAAGAAGATAATTATTAGGGCATAAAGATTTTAATTAAGAGATAAATTGAAAGAGAAAATTTAAGAGTTATGGAAAAATGATTGATTAGGTTTTGACTGATTAATTAATATAAATAATATTAATTGTTATAAGTTTTATAAAATTTTTTATAATTTTTAAATTTTTATTATAATGATAAATATTGTAAGACCTTATAATTTTTGGCCTAAAAACTTTTAGGACACAAAGCAATTGCTTTACCCTAACTCGAGAACCTGTCAAAAGTCCAGAACTTTTAAAATCCAAAAATTCCAAGACCCATTAACCCACGCCTGAATCAAGCAAAAGTCTTTTACCTCCTTCTTAAAAGTCTTCAGCTTTAAATTTTGATATTAAATTTTCAAATTTTGTTCCGCGATAAATAGAGAATTTGATATCATAACTTCCAAAATTTAATTTTTTCTTTTTTGAAAAAAAAAAGTCTAGAGCTTTAAAAATTGAGGAATGTTTGGAAGGGAAAATGTGGACAAGGGACTTAATAATTTTCAAGTTTTTTCTATTTCTTAATGAGAATTACTCATAAAGTTACTGTCCTTGATAACTTTTGTTCACTAGTGCTGTGGCAGAGAAGAGGTTAGACCAAATTAATAAAAATATGATTTAGGGAAATGACATAAAGTGCAAAACATAGTTTTACTCATTTATCCAAAGAGTCGTGAGATCCATCGAGAAGACTTCTACCTAAAACTAAATAAATGAAAAGAGAAATTACATAACAAAAATTATCACAGTGAAATTCTGAAGTGCAGAGGCATCAGATTTACACCCTATTTTCCGAAACCAGCCATACTGATTTCAAACTCCATGATCAATATTTCCACCTCTCGCAATCTTCCATGCTTCCAACAGAAGGCTGCTGAGGTTCAATCCTCGAAACGCAGCACCATAAGCAATCATCCACTCCTCTTCAGGCTTCAAAATTTTGAATCCTCCCCATATGTTAGCAAAGCTCAGGAGCAGTACAATGTATCCAGTGACATGGTGGAACACATTCCACATATACCTGTACTTGCTCTCCTTCCTAGGTCGCCAAAACAGAGCAGACACCTGAACCCAAATCACAGATAAGTCAGACTAATCTGTTTGGGTTCATGTCACGTTTTCTGTTTTCTATCATTTCCATATCCTTTTCATTTTCAAACAAAAATAGTTGATAGAATACCGAGGGAAAAAATTGCAATGGTTTTCTGGTAATTTTCATGGAAACAGTTCCTAAAATAGTAAAAAATAAAAACAAAAATAATTCACCAACCAGTTTACAGTTTGCATGTTGAAGAAGCAATGTTACTACCTGCAGTAGCCCGAGAGAAAACAGAGTGATTCCAATTCCCAGATGGCAAGAGTGGTGAACCCCAGAAGACTTGATGCCCAGAATGATCCCAGTTGCGCCACCCGCCATGCCTATCAGATATGCCGATGTTTGAATCGAAACGTGAAGGTAGAAAGCACAGTGGATCAGCTCTCGACCCCACCGCCTTCACATATCTCGCGCACATGAATCCCAATGGCATCATGATTCCCCAGCCTACTGTGTTCAAAGCTCCATGAATCTATAAATTTTGATTTCAATAGTGAAGTTCATATCAATAGGAAGATCACCGCAACAAATCAAAACATAGTAAAGCCACCAAAAAGCCTTAGAATGTAGCATAAAGAAGGAAAGCTGCTTTTGTTTTAGTTGAAAACATTGGGATTTCCAGAGTAAGCTTTTTCTTTCCCCCTTTATGGGCTACTTCATTCGATTTCATGAAAGGCAATTTTTTTCTTTAAAATAAAGGCAAGAAGAGCTAACAATTTACTGATATTCGGACTTCTTTAAATAAGTCCGGATAGCCAGTTTCTGTGTTTCCCCGAAAAAGTAGAGCATGTTCAAGTTGAAGGGAAAATTTGGATTTTAAACCAACATATATTAAATCAAATACAAAAAGCCAGGGCATTGATTTCGGTAAGGACTTAATGAATGACATACAGCCCTCAGTACGGCTTTTGATTTCCCACTTTGAGAAGACACGGCTTGTCCAGACGTAAGATTCAGAGTTCCCACGGACTGAAGGTGACTCTCAGAGATTTCATGCATGCCGAGGCTGTCACCAGAGACGGGCCCGTCTTGCCAAACATGGTACAAGGTAGAGCTGTTGGTCGGAAGCTCCATCGTCGCAAAAATAATGATCTGGTCATCAACAAAAAAATGGCCGACAAATCCGTGACAGGGAAACTCAGTGTCCCCCGTTCCATCTTTGTCTGATAGCTATTGATCGGAAGATGTGAACACCGCCATTGTTGCGTCGGGCCTTCTGTAGGCTATGAGGCTTGGGTTCCGATCATGCCCTTAGATGTGGGATTACTTCCCCATGCAACCCAAGAACTTGGAGAAGAGATTTGTGAGTGGCGGTAAGCGATTTGGAGGGTTCTAGAAGACGGGTCGTGATTCCAGTGGAGGGAGGAGGCCAGCGAGGGAAGATCAGTGCATGAGGCGAAAGTTTTATGATGGGAGAAGACGAAGTTGGAACAGGATTGAATAGTGGAGGGTGGTGGGAGAACAAGAAGAGATGGAGCAAGAAATAACGTAAAGAGGCAGAGAAAAGGCAGGGGCTTCATGGTGAACGATGATAATCGATCTAACATGAATGGAAGAAGTGATGGCCGTATGCTATAAGAACAACTTCTAGTCCGAGTGGGATTTGTATAAAGATTATTTTTTATCTATGTTTGGTAAGAAGAATGAATGAGATTGGGAAATTGGATTTGGAATTCTATAGATTTTAAATCTAAATTCCATTTTAATGTTTTAAAAGAATAAAATTTGATATTTATAAATTTTATTTAGTGTTTGAAAAAAATGAAATTTAGAATTAAAATAAAATTTTTACTATTATAACCCTTATAATAATTGTTTTCATAAAAAATTTACTGTATAGACAATAATTCTAATATGCCTTGTGCATGATTAATTGTGAGAAAGAGCAACTGCAAGTAAAAGATATTAAAAGAAAATTCGAAACTTGCTCGAATTATCAGTTTGATTTCTTGATTCTTAGTATATGACTCTCAAAAAAGTTGAAAATAAATCAGCGGGTGATGCATGTAAATGGAAATAAAATACAAATAAAACAAAAAAATATAAATCTCTCTCTCTCTGTCTATATATTATATATATATATATATATATTTTGAGGATTCTCCAAAAAAATAGGAAATAAAGTCATTCATGATTTTATTATTTGTTTTATTTTATTGTTTAGCTTAATAAAAAATGTTAATGAGAGGGAATAAATTGAAAAAATAATAAATTTTTAAAATAAGTTTTTTCAAATCAAAATTCTATCAAATCTGTCAATTTTAATAGAATTTTATTAAATTTCATTAAGTAAGTGAAATCGCATCAAATCCCATAAAATTTAATATTATTTTTTCTTCAAACAATTAAATTAACATTTTGAAACTTAAATTTCACCAAACTCCATCGAACTCCGAGTCCCCAAACATAGGATTAGGAAACAAAAACTAGCAGGACTAGGTTAGGATTGTGGTTTGATGACCTTATCTCGTTAATTGGCCCTTTGGTCCTTGACAAACATCCAAATAATTTTACCAGATGAAGGATAAATGTTCAAAACTTATTAGGGAGATCTTTTTTTATCTAATATCAAGTCAAAAAGTACTGAAAGAAAGTAGAAAAATTAATAAATGAAAAAAGGGCAATGATGTCATATTCGTTTTTAAATTGCAAATCTTTTGCAGAGTCCTTATTATTAAAAATAAAATCTAAAAAAAAAAAAGATCGTTGAAAACTATATATAACAAAGTTTTAGCAAAAACTTGGCCAAATTTTATAAGTTTAAGTGTCCTGAAAAATAAATATTAATACAAATTAATTTAATCGGGTTGCTACAGGGTCAGCTCACAATAATTACTAAGAAAATTATGGGGATTTTTTTCTAATAAATCTCTTAGGGCATTTAGTTTATTAATTTAAAGTTTCATCTCTAGATTTTTTTTTTGGTCAAATGGAAAAATTTATTGGCACGATAAAAAATTTTTAGAGGATTTGCTTTAAAGCATCTTGGGATAGCAATCCCAAACATCCAGTAATATCCTGGTGAATAGTTGTATGCCCACGAACAGTGCAGCTCTATTAAAATCCGAAGACTAAATTCAAACACTTTCTTCTTACAGTAAATTATATAAAAAAAATACATATTTAAAAAAGATGGGCTTAGATAAATTTATTGCTATTAGGGCCCTTTTGGATGGGATTTTTTTTTTTTTTTTACATCTAAAAAGATTTGAAATAGCTGCCTCTTTCTTTGACCGGAAATTGATTAGATTTTGTCATCGTATGGAAAGAGATCGTTGTAATTGACTAAATTTCATCATAGTCAAAGCTTTAATTTATGTGATTATGAAAAGGTATTTCTAATTCAGGGCTTTTGGAGATCGACGAAGGAGCAAGGACCCTCTTTGGAGAAGCTTTCCATGATAGAGTCGTCCTGAGGGAGATCAACAAAAATGTGTTTGTTTTGAGCTAGGAAGGACAAATTAAATTATTTGAAAAGGATAATCAGATAAATTTATTACTATTAACGCTCATTTGAACAAGTTCTTTTTTTGAACAAAAAAAGTGCTTTTGATTAAAAGAGTGTGCTTTGACCTAAAACAAACATGCACCAACTGTCTCGTCCTCCGACCAGAAATAAACCAAATTTTGTTGCCGTCTAGAACTAGGCTACCATTGGTGGCCAAATTTCATTGTAGTTGAAGCTTTAACTTCCCTAATTGTGACAATGTGTTTTTAACTTGGGGCTTATGTGGATCGACTTAGGGGCATTTGGTAAGACTGATAAAGGGTGAGAATATAACTTTTATCCGCGGTTACATGCATTCAGTTGGTATGTAACGAATCTGGATATAGATATGTATCAGCCGGATACTAATAGGGTATTTCAAGTTTCTGGGGGGATAAATTTTATCCCCCTAATAAATTTTCTCTTATGGACGATAATGCCCTTGCCGATTGAAGGCAAAGGGAGTCGGGGTTTGTTTGGTCAACGTAGAGGACGACGGGCTCTACTCGTTGGACAAGGACGACATAGAAGGACGCTGTGATCCGAGACGACCCAAGGCCAACGAGGACACCTGCGATCCGAGGACGACGTAGATTTGATGACTTTGATAAGCTTTACACGTTGGACGAGGATGACGAGACACAGAAGGACGCTCGCCGATGCCGAGGACGACAGCTGACTTCGTTGTCCAATCCGATCGAAAGCATCCAGTTTTTTTTTTTTTTTTTTACCCAGATCTGCGCCGCCCACAATCTTCTTCTGGAACGCCAATAGCCGGCATCATGAGCGTCGATCTACCTCGGCGGTCTTGGGTCGAAGATGACGATGGCGATCCAAGCCACGCGGGCCGGCTGGCTCAATCGGGCGTCTGATCTGGTTGCATAAGTTTTTTTTTTTTTTTTAATCTGAGGGCTTTTTGGTAAATTATCAACTTTATCCTACTTTTTAAAAATTTTATTCCATTTATTATCTGTTAAACCAAACATGTGATAAAATTTATTCCTTAGTAAATTTTATCTAGTTATATATTTATCCTCCTATATCGTATTCCCCTATCCGAACGCCCTCTTATAAGAGAGGGCCCTCATTGGATAAGCTTTCCATGATAGAGACACAACGAGGGAGATCAATGAAACTATATTGTTTTGAGTTGAAAAAGACAAAATTATCAGTATAAACTAAAAAGGACAACATTTCTAACTTGGGGCTTCTAGAGCTTGACTAAATTTTGGCGAGTTGTCATTTTGGAGCTTTCAAAAGGGATGGATTACAAGTCTAAGTTGTTCTCAATTAGATTTCATCGCAATTAAAGTCTTCTTCTTCCTGGTTGAAACCCCTAACCTTTTTCCTTGACCTTTTCATTCAAACAACATGAAAATACAAAATAATTTTCTATTTAGATAAAATCAGTTCTACAAACATCATTTTTCAAAAAATATTTTTTAAAAATTTTGCGGAAAGGGCACCTTAATTCAAAACCATACAAGCAGCAGCTTTATAGTTGATGTGGCATGGAACTAATAAAGAGAATAGCCATGTGCTTTCTTTTGCTTTTTCTTCTTTCTCCTAGGAAGAGGTGGCATTTGCACGAATGTTCCATGTGATACAGATTATAAGCATGGTTTAAAACTCATACCAGTCCGATTGCATTACGGTCATTTTACTAGTTTAGTTTTTACTAAAAACTGGCAAAATTGAAAAATCACTTTTATTTTATAAAAAAATATTCAAATCAACGATAAATGAACGGTTAATTGATTTTTTCTTTTGAAATTGTAAAAATAGTGCGCCAACCAAGAATCTTACCTAATTCTTTACCATTGAAGAATGCTATTTTGCAAATAGACCTCGGGTGTTTTGCCATAATTGTATTGCTTGCTAGCTATTCTGCCAATAGACCTAGTCTTGAATTAACTAATACTAGGAAAAAGATAAAATAAATTAGGCCATAAAGATAATTAAAACAAGTCAAGGTCCCCATTGATTAACATAATTCAAATGATTCAAGCAAAAAAAAAAAAAAAAATTAAAGAAAATATTTGACATCTTCTCTTAATTAAAAATATCCAAAGCCCAAAGCTCGTCTACTTCTTTCTACAAATCATTTCATCTCACTGACTCTCACAAGCAAATATCAAATACCAGCTTTTACGTGAATAATCAGAAAAATTATATAACAAATCAATAAGAAATATGGTAGTTAGTATTCATGTCAAAGATAGTTAGTATTATAATTAATAGTAGATTGTTATATAATATATAATCTGTTATTTTTTAAACCCATTTTAAACTATTAGGACTTGTTTGATTATCCTTATCTAAGGGTGGTTTGGACTTAAATTTTGCTAAACTTTTGTTTGAAGGCCCTTTTATAAGAAGTTGTGCGCTTAGTTTTTTAGTATTTTAATTTATTTAAATTCGAGCTTAGTTACTAGTTTGCCCCTGAGCTTTTTTTTAATTAAAACTACTTATATTTGAAAATCTAAAGTCTGAAAACCTATTACTCGTGATAAAATGCTAAAAACCAAGAAGAATCTGGCTGGGGAGAAAGAAAAAGAAAAAAAAAGAGACAAGCGGAGCCTCAAGGAAATGGAAGAAGCAGATGAAGGGCTAGAGATACAAAAGGAAAAAAGAAGTCATTATTTATTAAAAATAATTTCATCATTTCACTTGTACTATACTTTCATTAAATCTTTTTAATCAAAAAATATAA